TTTTTTTTTTTTTTTTTTTGGTACCAGGGATCAAACTTGGGACTTCCCGCTTGCAAGGCAGGCGGCGGAACCATTGAGCTAAATCCCCTGGCCCATCATAAAATTTCTTAAAAGTTAACAGGTATTTTCAATATTTCAAAATTCTTGTCAATCAATTTTACATCTACCTTCACATATGGGAACTTCATTGGTCCATCCATCTGCATCACACATACGGAAGTCAATGTCACCTAGCATTTGATAGCTGAAAATACAAAAAGAACAAGTGGTGAAATAATGTGTTTATATTGCAGTTTTAAACTCTGTATCATTCTGAATGTCTTTTAGAAACTCCATTTCATGGAAAATTAATAGGATGTATTCTTTTTCCTTTTTTTCTTTTGTTTTTCTTCCTCCCTCCTTTTCCCTCTCTTCTTTCTTCTTTCCTTTTCTCTTTTAACTTTATTTTTTCCTCTGCTTTTCTCCTTCCTGCTCCCCTTTTCCCTTCCCTCCTCTCTAACGTTTTCTGTTTCTTTAGTCCCTCTCTTCTCTCTTTTTAAACTTTCTCCATTTCTCCCTCCCTCCTTCTGGCTCTCCCTTCCTCTTTTTCTTTTTTAAAAAAGCCTGCAGGACCACCAAATAATTCTACATGGACAATTGTTTCCTTCATTTGCACATAAACATTGTTTTGTTCATTGCACAAGTAAACATTCTCCTTCAAAAACTGCTTTGTAATTCTTTTATTCTTGATTTAGTATTAATTTTGTACTACAAGACAACATTTCAATAGACTAAATTTTAGTTACAGAGCTTGAAATCCAGCATTTAACTCTATGCATCATGGAGAAGAAAAATAATTGATTATTAAGATAATTGTCTAGCTCTTTCACTGGGGAGAAGTTACCCTCTTCTAATAGTGAAAGAAGATTTCCTGGTTATCATTTTCCATCCACATCAGAGACTCACTCATGCCACAAAGGTCTTTTGGATTTTCTGCAAGATTCTACACACAAAGCCTTCTAGGGACCATGTACATGAAGAGAGAAAAGAGAGACTGGTGCCTGTATGTTAGTGGTTGGGGAAAGTTACTGGTTCACATCTCTGTAACCTAGACAAGCAGAATACCAAAAAACATCCAATGTCTTCTCAAAACTGCCTTACTGTAGGATATCAAAACCAGACACACATATTGAATATTCCGTTAAATGGTTAGTATTCAGCAAAGGAAAAGCAAATGCGGGCCAGGGATCAAAAAGGGAAAGTTGACTGGAAGAAATTACAGTTACAGGAAACCTACTCCACTGTCAGATTCCACAGGTGGGTCAAGAAATGCACACCCTCTCAGCTAAGTAAAACATCCCCTTGATGAACTTTTAAACAACTGGTAATGTTCTTCTGGAGGACCAAGTCAACTATAGAGACAGTTACCCTCACAGTAGGACTGCATCAGAGTTTGCTCATAGTTTGCATCATATGATTAATTAGAGAGAGCCACAGTCAAAGACAAATATGTGGCTAATTTAAGCATGAAATTATGAATATTAATTGCTGAAATTTAGGAAATCAAGGGGAAGACATCTATGAGTTTTAATTCTCTTAGCCAAGTCAAGGTGAACCCTAAAGTGGGGAGACTGGCCTAGGTTGAAAGAAATATTTTAGAGGTGAAGAGAGAAGCAGATAGAAAGTACAGGTCCACATCATCTTAACCTGTCTTGTTGTACATAATAAGCTCAGCAGCAATGATTGGAAGTTGGGCTGGAAATGTGTTTGAAGAGCTAGAAAAGCTCCCTCAAGTAGTCACCAAAGAGAGGTTAAATTCCTAAGATCTACTACTTATTAGGTGTTTACAATACCCACGGTCTCTTCTAAGGGCTTATGTGTGGGTCTTAATTATTTCTGCCACCAATATCATGATGGACAGGCTATGTCTAAGTTTTGTAAGAGAGGAAATGGGACTGAAGTAGTATTTTTTTAAAGTACACATAAATATTTTATGTTGGGGTTTTGAAATGCAGGCATACTCCAAAGTCTGATCTTTAAATTTTTCCTTTTTTTTTGTACTGGGGATTGAACTCAGGACCTTGTGCTTGTGTGGCAGGCGGCAGCACCACTGAGCTAAATTCTTGGTCCAAATGATTACATATTATTGTTGCAACTCAAGAAATAAATGAAGAATAACAAGATTCCATTTGTAATACCTTGATTCTATTTAAATTTATGTAGTATAAAATTATAGTGCTAGGATCCCTGCTTTCCCATGTATGAAATTTCCTTCAAAATAATTTTTTGATCTGGAAGGGAATAATACAGAAGAAGGAACACTGAGAAGTTTCCTTGTGAGATCAGTCATGAAAACCCAGTAATTGATTAGAAAGCACAGAGTCAATGATCCTGAGAGTCCCATTTTTGGTTCATGTGGTAAGAATAGTTTGCATACCACAGAACCATATATAATAAGTGAGTAAAATACTTACTCTAAATTTTATAAAGTTTTATCAAGACAGTTACCATATAATTTAACATTGTTACAATTATCATTGTCTCTAACACATGAAAATCTCATAACTCTCTGCAAATAGTAGAATGGAGTAAACAATTGTTGGATGAACACTTAGGTACATAGGACAATAATATTGCACCAGAGTAATTATGACTTCTTTTAATTTTTCAATGCTAAGGAGATAACACAGTATCTAAATATAATCATTTACACCCCATAGTTTAATTTTTCACTGTGTTACTTTTTTAAATGCTCATAGAAAAATACATTCATTTTGAAAATAAAATCTAGTACAGTTCCCATTTATTATTTCATTATCAACATCTTTTGTATTGACTACATACCCCTCATCACATTTATAAACAACTTTCGCGCCATATTCAAACTCATCTCCTACCACGAGCTGAAAAGAACCAAAGGGAGTGTCTCCAGGATGTCCACAGGGCTTTTCTAAAACAGAAGCAAAAATGGATAATATTAGTGAGTAATACAAAGTGAGCACTTTAGGAGTTGCAGGACTAATATATTAGGTATTAGATTAGAAGATAGCATTAAATATAAAGAAAGTTGAAAATGCCAAAGCTATTTTACAGTTGAATGCATTTGCACAGTTTTACTTTTGATTTTCATAGGATTACTCCTCTCTTTTAAAATAATAGTAAATTGTTTTTTAAAAAATGACAATATGACATAATTCAGCCAATAGTACAATGTCAAATATTAGGTATTTAACAAAAAGTTTTTGTCAAAAGTCTTTGAACGTTTCTGTAATTTTCTCCTATGTGTAAACTTACTCCGACATATCCTAGCTGGATTAAGGGCCACCCACTCTCCATTCCTGCAGGCCCTCATGATAGTTCCAAGAGTTCTGTATCCAGGGCGGCATTTGTATGTAGCCTGAGTGCCTTCAGGATATGCTTGGTCAGGCCAAGCGCCTGAGAGAATTTCTGTATTTTGTCTTGGAGGAGGTCCTGTACAGTCTACAAACAACAGAAGCAAAATAAGTGCCTATCATGTCTATTTAAGCATAGAGTACATTTATTTTCATTTTATATATCTATACAGTTAAAGGTTCATCCAAGGTATACCTTAATATGTACACATTATCTTGTGGAAACTGAGTCCATATGATTCTGTAAGAATATCCACTGTGGAGCACACAGGAGGTGAGCCACTCCCAGTGCACAAGAGGAGGGTTCTGGGGCTCCGTACCAGTCCCACAAGCACAGAGGAGGTGAGCCACGCAGGCACCAGCCACAACACCCCCCCCCC